CCTTTCCTTTCCTTTCCTTTCCTTTTCTTTTCTTTCTTTCTCTCTCTCTCTCTCTCTCTTTCTCTCTCTCCCTCTCTCCCTCCCTCCCTCCCTCCCTTCCTTTTTTTTTTTTTTTTTTTTAAATTTTATTTATTTGACAGAGCACAAGCAGGGGGAGCTGCAGGGGAAGGGGGAGAAGCAGGTTCCCGGCTGAATAGGGAGCCCAATGTGGGGCTCTATCCCAGGACCCTGGGATCAGGACCTGAGCCAAAGGCAGTTGCTTAACTGACTGAACCACCCGGGCACCCCTCTTTGGTAGTTTTTAAAGTTAAAATTCAGAGCTTTGGAAAGAGTGATAAAATTATATAAATATGTAATATGCTTTTGGCTTTTTCATTTTTAGTAGGTAGATCCTTATTAAAGTATGGTATCATCAAAAATAGTTACTTGTCAATGAGGGCAGTTAAGTACCAAAACAAAAACTTTTTTTTTTTTAAGTCAGTTTTCCCCTTTACTTTACTGATATATACTAGAAAACCATCTTAAAGTTTTATTTAAGGGGTGTCTGGGTGGCTCAGTCAGTTGGATGTCTGCCTTTGGCTCAGGTCATGGTCTCGGGGTCCTGGGATTGAGCCCCATGTCAGGCTCCCCACTTGGTGGGGAGCCTGCTTCTCGCTCTCCATCTGCCTGCTTCTCCCCTGCTTGTGCGCTCTGTCAAATAAATGAAATCTTAAAAAAAAAAAAGTTTGATTTAAGTCATATCTCAGGAATTTGTAAGAAGCACCTACAGTGCTGTGATCTCTTTAGTTATAGAGACCAGAATAAGAATTTCTATTTAAAAAAAGAAATGGGGGCACCGCAGTGGCTTGGTCGGTTAAGCATCTGCCTTTGGCTCAGGTCATGATCCCGGGGTTCTGGGATCGAGCCCCACATCGGGCTCCCTGCTTGGCGGGGAGTCTGCTTCTCCCTCTCCCTCTGTCTGCCACTCCCCCTGCTTGTGCGAGCTTATGTGCGTGAGCGTGCTGTCTCTCTCTGTCAAATAAAATCTTAAAAAAAAAAAAAGTAATTTTTAGGTGATTTATCCCTTTTTTCATTTGTCCTTTTTTATGGATTGTTTCATAAACTAGTCTTAATTTCTCCAAAATGCACTAATCAGTTTCTCAAAGCCAATCTGCTGAAGGCTCTTTCTGGTTTTTTCCCTTTGAAGGTATTTTAATATAATTCTCTTTGAGAGAACGTTACCCTTATTAGCATGGTTTTAGAATATCACGTTACTTGGATTATTAGCCCATTGAATTGTATATGCTTTAACTTGCTGATATTTTTAAATATTGTATTGGTCCCTAGGGAACATCAGGAAGGTACAGCCACCACAGGGGGCCTGTGGTGCCTTTGAATAGGGGCAGGTAGAGTTTCTCCTGCTCAGAACCATCCATCTGAAAAGGGAATGCCTTCTGTAATCTTTCTGACAGCTGGCAAGCTAAACCTCCCAATTTGAACCAAGGAAAGCTTAAGAGCTCATTAACAGCTCTTTCTCTTTTCTTTCTGTAGGAAAAATTTCCATAATTAAATCCAAATATGATGTCTCAATATCTTCCCCACACCCTATATTCTAGATGTATATACAATAAATCGAACCCTACTGTCATACATAATCCTTTAAATATTTGAAAATGACAGAATTTCTCTTAAGTCTCTCTTATCCAAGTTGAATACTACATTTCCTTTTACTCTTTCTCATGACTTCTGGATCCTCCCCCATTCTGAGCATCTCTCGTCAAGAATTAAGATTCACCATTCAGAATATCCATTCTTACTAAATGGCAGAGGGCACGACACCACACGAATTCACACTAATCATCAAAAACCTACATTTGTTTTTATATAAACTCATAAACCATTCTAGTAGATTATAGAATTGAGGTTGAAAACCTAAATACTACTGGGCGCCTGGGTGGCTCAGTTGGTTGAGCGACTGCCTTCGGCTCAGGTCATGATCCTGGAGTCCCTGGATCGAGTCCCGCATCGGGCTCCCTGCTTGGCGGGGAGTCTGCTTTGCCCTCTGACCCTATCCCCTCTCATGTGTTCTCTCTCATTCTCTCTCTCTGAAATAAATAAATAAAATCTTAAAAAAAAAAAAAAAAAAGAAAACCTAAATACTGGACTTTACATTTATCTCTATTTAAAATTTTACGTATTAAATTTCTATTCATTCAATTTAACATCACAGTATCTTCTTGAATCCTAACCCCTAGAGAACTCCCAGTTTTGGATCACCTGTAAATTTGCAAAGCAGGCCATCTACATTAATAAAAAAATGTTAAATAGGACAGAGGCCAAGCAAAGAACCTTGCAGCCCTCTGCAGACTCGCCTCACTGGTAACAAACATCCAATGGAAACTTAGGTTGGAAATGGTCTCTCCGTCATGTAGTTATAAAGCCACGATCCTCTGCCATGATCTTGAGACTAGTTCAAAAGTTTGCCTATGGTTTGGCTATAATTTCCTTGACCACCCCTCCAGTAATTCTTTACAAAAAAAAAAAGTTGTTTTAGCATGACCTACTCCAAACCACTGATTTTCAGTGGAGGCAATAATACTCTATAACGAGCATTTTGTAAAGAGTTTTCTCTCAGAGTGTGCACTGGTGCCTTTTTAAAAAAGCTTTATGCATAGTGGTCATTATTAGTGAAGATATAGAATGTTTACAGCACTCTAAAGATTCCTTCATACCTTTTCCCCACCCAAGCTTTTTATTAGGTAATTTAGACATTCAAAGATATTTTCATTAATTACCCTTTTCTCTATTGTTTTTCAAATTTTCTTTTTTGTCCTTTTGTGGTTTCTTTCATCTCCCTTTCCCTTACGTACAGCTGTCTTAATTTCCTTGACTTGCCTCTGTGTTTTTTTTAATTAAACATTAGGTTTTTATAATTTAAAATATTTATTTATTTATTTAAGGAAACTCTCCTCCCAATTTGGGGCTGTACCTCATGACCCCAAGATCAAGAGTCACATGCTCTATCAACTAAGCAAGCCAGGTGCCCTGCCTCTCTGTTCTTTTGAAAACAATGTTTTATTATTTTTTCAGATTAACTTCATTTACAGGTTTCCTGCTACTGAAAGCAATACAACAAAAGTTAGTATATAAAGAGATAGTGTTGTGTATTATTACAATCACAGGCTCTGGAACCTGGATGTTAAGTCACAATTTAGCCCTTAGCAGCCATGGGATATTTGGGCAAGTCACATTACGGTGTCTGTGTTTTCATCTGTATAATGAGGATTAGTAGTAGTACTGACCTTTCTGAGTAGTTGTGAGAATTAAATAGGTTAATTCATGAGAAGCATTTACTGCCATAAACAATATCCAATTAATTTCAGCTATTATCTCATTTCCAAAGCTAATTTCAGAGCCTGCTTCCATCTCTCTGCCCATTTAAGGATAAAAGTGATTACTTCAGAAGGGTATTTTACTTTTCTTCTCTAAATGTTTTTCAGCCATTATCATTAGTTAGTGCAGTTGTACAGGTTTATATTTTCAGGTAGTCCATAAATATGACTACTTGTTTAAGCAAGTGGTCATGATTTTTTATGTTTTCAGGTGTAAAAAAATTCAACAGTTAGAATTGGCTTTTTTAAAAATTATTTTTAGTTTTATTTATTTTTTATTTTTTAAAGATTTTTTATTTATTTGACAGAGAGACACAGCAAGAGAGGGAACACAAGCAAGGGAAGTGGGAGAGGGCGAAGCAGGCTCCCCACAGAGCAGGGAGCCCGATGCGGGGCTTGATCCCAGGACCCTGGGATCATGACCTGAGCCGAAGGCAGATGCTTAACGACTTGAGCCACCCATGCACCCCTTAGAATTGGCTTTTTTAAAAAAGATCTCATATGGAAGCACTTAAAGATTCTATTTGAATTGTTAGATGAATCAAATATTTAATGATTACCGTGGTCAATAAAAATTCTCAAGACATGGCCTTGTCCCTTAAGCAGCATTTCCAACATTTCCCTAGTTCTTTCATTGCTTCAGATATGGTTTGTGAATTGGGCAAGCACCATGGTGAAGGGAATGCTGAATACACTGTAAATCAAGTCTTCACAGATCATACTGCTGCAGACTGTGGTCATTGGTGTCTAGACTGTTTCATTGGGACAGCATTTATTTTTCTCTGGGGGAAGAAAAGGTTTTTTTCCTATTGACCAAATCTTATCACAGTAATTAATTTCTAAATCCATTTAGTAATAAAGTTGGATGAGCTAGTGATAACTCTGGTAGAATATCATTTCTGTTTGTCATCTTCAATGAGTAAGGGATCGGTGGTAATTTAGGAGACATGGGGAAACTGTAATTCTATGTATTTTCTGTCCCAGTGGATGAGACTTAAATACAGAAATCTAATGTCATCTGTTTGGGCCTCCTGATCCACCCCCTCTGCCCCATCTCATCAAACTTCTCAGCTGACAGCATACTAGCTGGGGTGTAAATTGTTCTGCCCAGAAGTCTTTGGTGGAGTTTGTTGGAGGGTGTGAGCTAAATCCTCACCTAGGATGTAGCAGATACTGGCCCAACTGATAAAATGATTCTGAGAGCAAATAGGATGATATTAAAGGAGACATTAGGAATGAAGGAGCGCTGTAAGTTTAGTGATACCTGAACTTAAATTCTGCTTTTTTGAGATCATATAGTACAGTGCCCAGTTTTAATGTTCTCTCTGTAGGCCTGAATGTTAAATATTGTAGAAGTTGGGTGTTACTAATATTTTATATGTTTTTGGAATGGTGAAGTCATTTTCTAGAAATTTATGGAAACTAGTTCCATTTATATTTTTTGAAAGTGTATTATCTGATTTTTGAGAATATTTTTAATTTTGTAGATTTAATGTTTTAACATGTTGTACAAATGTAAATTATTACCAAGGGTCTTCTGGGTAAAAATAAAATGTTCATTAAAACAAAAATTCTTCAAGAGAATTTGCTAGGCATTTTTTTTTTTTAAAGATTTTATTTATTTGACAGAGAGCGACACAGCGAGAGAGGAAACACAAGCAGGAGGAGTGGGAGAGGGAGAAGCAGGCTTCCCGCGGAGCAGGGAGCCCAATGCGGGGCTCGATCCCAGGACCCTGGGATCATGACCTGAGCCGAAGGCAGACGCTTAACGACTGAGCCACCCAGGCGCCCGAGAATTTGCTAGGCATTTTTAATTTGGTTTATTCTAGCAGAGAAATTATTATCGTTGTTATTTTTAAAGATTTTATTTATTCATTTGATTGAGACACAGATACAAAGAGAGAGAGAGAGCATGAGCAGAGGGAGAAGCAGGCTCCCTGCTGAGCCAGGAGCTAGATGTGGGGCTCAATCCCAGGACCCTGGGATCATGACCTGAGCCAAAGGCAGATGCTTAACCATCTGAGCCACTCAGGCACCCCTAGCAGAGAAATTATTAAATCAGTTTTATAAAGTACTTTCAGTCCTTGAACTGTTTTAAATTTAGTGGGTTTTTTTGTTTTTTTTTAACATTGTGGACTTCTTTTGAAGATTTTATTTATTTGAGATCGCGAGCGCGCGATGGGGGCAGGAACAGAGGGGGAAGGAGAGGGACAAGCAGACTCTGTGTGGAACGTGGAGCCCCGTGCGGGGCTTGATCCCAGGACCCTGAGATCCTGACCTGAGCCAAAACCACCAAGAGTCATCAGTTGCCTAACCCAACTGAGTGACTCAGGCGCCCTATGGACTTTTTTTTTTTTTTTTTTTTAATAAAAGATATCGGGCTTGTGAGTTGGGGGGTGGGGAGAGGCAGAGGAGAGAAAGAATCTTAAGCAGGCTCCACACCCAGTGCAGAGCCCCTCCATCTCATGACCCTGAGATCATGACCTGAAACTGAAATCAAGTCAGATGCTTAACCGACTGAGCGCCCCCCCCCCAGGTGCCCCTGGATTTTTTTTTTTTTTTTTTAAGCTTTTGTTTACGAGAGAGGGAGCATGACCTGGGGGTGGCAGGGAGAGGGAGAAGCAGAGACTCCCTACTGAGCAGGGAGCCTGACTTGGGGCTTGATCCCAGGAGCCCGGGATCATGACCTGAGGTGAAGGCAGACTGTCAGCCTACTGAACCATCCAGGTGCCCCACCCCTGGACCTTTGTTTAAGGGATGAAAAAGCAACTGCTGTCCTCCCATAATGAGGAAGTAAGATGATGACACAGTTCTGATTTAGGAACTAGATATTAGATATTAAGGCTTATGAGATGGAAGGTATTTGAAAGAGGAAAGTTTCAGAGCGCCTGGGTGGCTCAGTTGGTTAAGCGACTGCCTTTGGCTCAGGTCATGATCCTGGAGTCCCGGGATCGAGTCCCACATCGGGCTCCCTGCTTGGCAGGGAGTCTGCTTCTCCCTCTGACCCTCCTCCCTCTCATGCTCTCTGTCTCTCATTCTCTCTCTCTCTCAAATAAATAAATAAAAAATCTTTAAAAAAAAAAAAAGAAAGTTTCAGTCCTGGAGGAGGCACACCATGGACTGTGATCATCATAAAGGATAAAACTTGGCACTGTTAAGTTTACACTGTAAAGAGAGAGTAGTCAACATTTTGGTGTTTTTTATTATTGTTGTAGAATCACATTTGAATTAAATGTGCTAAAATTTCCTGGACCATAAAGCTCCTCTTCTAAAAAATAATTGTAGAAGAGATTTACAGAGGAGGTTGGAGTTAATAGAAAGGTCATCCTTCTTTTTTTTTTTTTTTTAAGATTTTATTTATTTGCGAGAGAGAGAATGAGAGACAGAGAGCATGAGAGGGAGGAGGGTCAGAGGGAGAAGCAGACTCCCTGCTGAGCAGGGAGCCTGATGTGGGACTCGATCCCGGGACTCCAGGATCATGACCCGAGCCGAAGGCAGTCGCCCAACCAACTGAGCCACCTAGGCGCCCAGAAAGGTCATCCTTCTTAATTGGATTACTTCTAATACCCAAATACAAATACAGGTGAAAGGATATATACCTACTATAAAATGTAACTTAGATATCTAAAACTAATGATGTAATGTATGGGGATTAACATAAGAATAAAAAATATATATATATAAAATGTAACTTAGAATATTTAGTCCATTGTTCTCTGAAAGATCAAGTACCTCTTTAACCACATGGATTCAAGGAGACCACAAACTTCCTTTTCCTACTGTAAGTTACACAGGTATTACTTGGCATAATACGTATTATCTTTGAATAGGCTTTTACATAATTTTTTAAAAAACTGGTTCTCATTATTATATTGAAGTCATAGTTTTGAACTGCATGATGGCATCCCAAGATGAGTTTAAATCATTGCTCCTTCTACTTGTTGAGTAACAAGGTTTTCATGATCCATAAAAATTAAGTGGTAATCCCTATCTAACAGATCAGGTTGTAATATATATAACACTTTAAGTGCTACACAGATAGAGGGCAGTGGTGATGAAAATACTTTCTCTCAAGCAGAACTCCCACACAGTGCAGGTTTTAAGAAATTAAGTACCTTTGAAGACAGTGACTTTTATTTGACGCTCTAAACTTAACATCTTCCAGATCCAGGAAGGACACAATAGGTACTTGGGGAAGTGGCATATATACCCCATGTCCCCACCCCCAGCCATGAAAATCTTTCAGTTTTATCGGAAAGGTAGGTAATAGGTGCTTTATTTTCATAGGTTTTTGAAAAGCTGATTATACAGTTGACAGTTAAAAAGGTGTTTTCTGTCTCATCTTTAGGGATGGGTTTTAAAAAAATTATTATTCCCCTCAAGTTCTTCAAGACTTCTAATTTTTAACTCCTTTGTTAAACCTAGAGTTATGAATAGCTTAGCTTTAAAATACTGGTTTTGGGTTTTTTTTTTTTTTACAAAATGCTCATACTGGTGTCTATAGTAGATTTATTTTGTGTTGTAAAAACTTGTTTGTTCTAAGTTGGCATTCTTGGTTTTTATACCTTTGATGTGATTCATACTTAAAAATAACGTTCAGCTGCAAAGTGGGAGATTTTGCATTCTTAAAAAAGTCTTCAGTGAAAGAATATATACTAAAATCTTGCTTTCTTCTCACAGCTAGCCTGTTATCCAGATTTTTCAATAATTATGGTGAACACTATTTAAAGAAAAAGTTACCCTCTTCCACCTTTTCCTTATAGCTTTGTCTTTATTGGGTATTTTCCTGGAGTCCTTGTTTTAAAATACTTCTGCATCTGGGTATAGCCCATATACTTGAGCATGCTTCCCATTGAAATGACTCTTGGTGAACTCCTGCTCATTCTCCTAATTAACATTGCTTAGATGGGCTTTTCCTGTATGCCTTAACAATTTTCAATGTGATTGTCATTAATGCTTTTTATTTTATCTGAACTTCTCAACACATTTTAGCATGGTCTTGACATTAAAAGCAAAATGGAAGAAGTCTTGTACCAAAGTTATCCAAAGCTACCCTCTCTGTGAATTGTGAGATGTGTATTAGTAAGCCATATTTTAAAGTCATTTTGTAACCCTAGAGCGTGTAGTCTATTTTCATTCCACCATTAGTATTTACAAATGTCAGTACCTTTCATTCAGAGACCACCAGGAACACACTTGTAATTGAACCAATTGGACTTATCACTCTCTGCAGCCAAGAATACAGACCATGGAGAACTGTGGGGTGTCTCAATAAGAGGGTGTTCCAAAGATTATATTATAGGATTTGGGCTTTGGAAATGTCGGGGAGGGTTCAAGGAAGTGAGGGCTGTCACTCATTTAACATAAGAGAGATGTTTGGTATTTTGTGCGTTATATAGTGACCTTGTTTTTGTTTGACTTCATCTAGTCTCAGACAGAGTTGTCTAGTGGGATCAGAACAAAATGGTTTAACTGTAAATGTCAGATCAGTCTGTAATAACATTGAGACTTAACTGTGAGTATCAGATTAGTTCGCAGCGGTCAGGGACTGCTCCTTTTTTTTTTTTTATTTTCTTAAAAGCATTTAAATCCAAACTGGGAACCAGTTGGGCGGGGGGTGGGGAGGTGGGGGCTGGTGTTAGGTCAGGATTCAATAGCAAGACATTGGGCATGTCACTGAACAAGCTGCAGTGATACCAATGGTTACGTTTTTACAAAACAGCAGTTGGGAAGCATATCCTGCATACCAGTTTCAGCTGGCTAGAATTGGTTAGTGGGTAAAATATGAACATATTCTTTTTAATAAAAGAAATAAGATGTATGAGTTTCTGCATTAGTCTCTCTGGGGGATCTTAGGGTTTATCCCACTAAATTTAGTGTCCAGGGATTGGTTTGTAGTGCTTCAGGAGTTGTTTCTTTCCATCTGGGGAGAGTCAACTATTCATTTTTTATATTGTCTATGTTAATACAAAGCAGTAAATACCAAAGGGATTTTAAAGGTTTTAAGACTTAAGAACTCTATCAAATACTTTACAATTGAATATTATAATAATTGTAACAATTTCTTATGAATTGTCAAATTGACTTAAGGCAAACAATGGACCATGTTTTCACAGCTTTACTGTCCATTTTTGTCATGTTCATCAAAGAACATTAAGGGGAAATTTATATTAATTCATTTATTCAAACAGTTGCTGTTTACTAGGTGCCAGGGCCTGGGTATGGTGGAAGGGGTCAAATAGCCATTCCTGTCTTCATGAACAGTACTACACTGATTGCTGATTTTTGTTTTAAAAGCAACACTTTTTTTCATTTCATATATATTCTAGAATAAGCACTGCATTATTGTATTAATGGTACACAGAAGACTATCCCTATGATTAATAAGGTAGTTTTACAGTTTTTGTAACTTTAAAAGTGGTAGCTTTTTTTTTTTTTTTTAAAGATTTTTTTTATTTATTTGACAGACACAGTGAGAGAGGGAACACAAGCAGGGGGAGTGGGAGAGGGAGAAGCAGGCTTCCCGCAGAGCGGGGAGCCCGATATGGGGCTCGATCCCAGGACCCTGGGATCATGACCTGAGCCGAAGGCAGATGCTTAACAACTGAGCCACCCAGGCGCCCCCAAAGTGGTAGCTTTTTAAAATCAGATATTTATGGAGCATCTGCTCAGACAAGTCCAGAGATGCCTCTAAATGTGGAGGTCTTCAGAACAAAATTTGTATTCTAGTAAACTGCAAGATAGGCTGCTTTTGTATCTTCATTTTGAATAATAAGTTGAGGGTATTCTCCTTAATATTGAATCTTTATCATTTGGTAAAAACTGAGTAAGTTTTAGAACTAGAAAAGCTGTATTTGTAGTTAAGACTTAACCATGAGTACTTATTAGAATTCTAGAGCACATTTGGTTAGAGTCACAGATGAGAGAATGCAAAATGTTTAGTTCCGTTAGACAAAATACATTATAGGCAAACCAGTCTTCTCTATGTGATACTCCTAGATCTGCGTTGGTCTGTGGTATTTTCCTACTGAAATAAAAAAAGAACATAATCATATCTGGTCTTTGAAATCTTCATAGCTATATGATAGCTTTGAATGTTTATGAGATACTGAAAAACCTTTAAGGAAGGATTTAGATTGCAAAACTTTTTACATCATGGTGCTTTTGGTAGAGCAGTAGTAGCATTAGAGTGTGGTTGATTCGGACACAACTAAAAGTGGTAACATTTCAAAATAAGGTTTTTCTCCTGTAGACCATTCCACAGAGAAATGTGTACATTTTAAGTTTTAAACACACTATATTGGACTGTCATTTAGGTCTTATTTACCAAGTATAGTACATATTTTTGCATAGGAAAAGGGATTCTAGAGTTCCCACAGATTTCAAGATAAGTAGGGAACTTACCACATAACCATTTTTATCAGTGTCTAAATTATATGTAGATGCCAGGACATGTCTTCATATAATTTAGGCATGTAGGTTTGTGGTACATTCTCTTGGTTAAAGTTTCCTAGATAAGGTTTTGTGTTTTGAAAGTAAATCTGTCTGTGTAGCCTCCTGCTTTCATGATCCCCACAGAATTCACTCTGATATTATTTATAATAACCAGTAGATTTGCATTTATATCTGCTTTATAAGTATCCATTTACCAGGAAGATTGATGTAGATTAGTACCAGCTTACTCTGTCTTTTCATAATTAATGATGACTGCAAGTCTATTTGCAGTATGCCATTTTTTCCCTATAAAATGGGAGGGGTAAATTTTATTTTGTGTATTGTTACCTTCAAAATTTAATGATAGGAGAACATAGTGTAATTGATGTTTACAGTGGTAAGTGACAAGGAAGAAGAAACTTTTACTGAAGCTCTTCTCCAGCTGCTCCAAAATTCTAGGTACAGTCACAGTTTTTACTTGGGGCAGTCATAACTCATCTGAGAGTCAGCAGTTCTGGCTTTGAGTCCCAGCTCTGCCACTGGGCAAGTCAGTCTCTGAGTTTGTGTTTCTCCCTCTGTCAAGTGGGGCTAATGATACCTACCTCACAGGGTTGTTGTGAGGGTCCCAGAAGAAGTACACAGAAGACGCCACTGCTCACGTGGCAGGCATGAAGTAAATGTGTGTTGCTTAAGTTGCATATATGCAAGGAAAGCTGGCATAAAGAAAGTGACATATTGAAGTGAATTTGACTTAAAAGGAGTTTGGAACTGATTAGGAAAGGCATTATAAAGGGTTTAAGAGGAGATGACTAGATCAAGAGTTGGGATGGGATATTATACATGGTCATTCTATTTTCAGTAAAGGTGCTTAGGATTAGACGTGTCACTGATAAAATTAATTGTATTGTAAGCACATTTAAATAAATAACATTGAAATGGAACTATGACTTATTTTTTAAAGCTTTATTTGTACAAGTCCTTATACTTTACTTCCACTGTCATCTCAGAACCACCGTATTCCCTTAAGGCAACACTTCACTTCCACCATTCCTCTTGCACTGTTCCCCAAATTCTGTTCTTTCCTTTGTTCGTTGCTTGCTCGTTTGCTTTTTAAATCAAGATAACAATCTGAGTCTTCCTGAGAACCACTAGCTGTTTATTGAGTTCTAGTTAGGTCAATTGATACTTAATGAGCATAAGATATACTGAGTTGTTCTGTAGATTAATAGCAGAATATTCTTTTCATTGCTGCTTTTTACTAGGTTTACAGTATCCTGAAAAAATATAAAGGCCAAAAAAAGATACATTTTTGTGGTGTGAGTTGTTTATTTGGGCATTTTTAATAGACATTTTAAATTTAGATCAGAATCCAATATTCCATTGTTAGAGATATTTGTATAACTAGCACTGTGGTTGCATTTTAAGTCCTCATTTATTCTATTCTTCAGTCTTTTTCTCCTTTTATTGTTGCCTTCTCTAAAAATGAGTAGTGAAAGAAAAATCATTCTTCAAGCACAGTTAAGGTTGCAAAGCCTTTACTCTGCCACATGACTGAGTTTTTATTCGGTGTGATGGCTGAAGATGGGAATTAAAGAACAGAAACTGTGAACTTCATGGTCCCATACACCCCAACATCACACTACTCCCACCGAGCACAGACAGGCAGTGTTGGCTGCAGATACTTGGCTAACCAGCGTTCTCTCTGTGGGAAACATTGATGACACAATTCAATGACTATGTGCGGTTGACTGGCAAAGAACTGTGTAAACTGTGGTCATACATATGCGCACATGTGTTCTTCAGAATACAACCATGAGACTGAAGCCCACTATCAGTGTGTTCCCACTAGTTAAAATGGATTTACTTTGTTCTTTCCACATCTCGTCCTGTCCCCAGGAAGATGACAGATGATAAAAAAACAAAAGCAGATTGACCGCATAACAGTTAATTGACCTATGTGGGGTTATCACTTGCAACCTTGGCTTTATTAGCAATGCCATTCTGTAACCAACCAAGCTGAAGACTAAATGCAACATTAAGATGCATTTTTTTTTTCATCAGTCATGTATGGCAACAAGTATATTCTGTGTATCACATGGAAGTAAGATTTGGAGAGTACTGTAAGGTCTGGATTCACACATTCCCACCATGTTCCATATGGAAGGCTGAGATCTGTGGTGCAACAGTGTTGGGGGAATGGAGGGGTGGAAAGGTAAGGAAAGAACTGGGTGGGATTAATGTGGAAGTTATCTTCTTGAGAATTTTCTGCCTTTACAAAGGTAATTAATAAACATTCATAAAAAGTCACACAAATAGAAGTAAAAAGTCAGTGATTCTCTACCCTTTTCCAATCTCACATCCAGACATGTTCATCACTATTCTGTTAATAGTTGGTGTGTATGTTTCCACAATTCTTACACAAATACAAGAAGATATTAAAAAAAAAAAACTACATGAAATGGGATTATACCACATACATATATTCTTTGCTGTTTGCTTTTGTCACAATATATCATGGCCATCTTTCGTATCATTACTACCCCAGTCTTATTTTGGTAACTATAACCTTCCATAGCATGTATCTACCATAACTTATTTAACCATTCTCATTGACAGATGTTTAGGATTTCCAAGGTTTTTACTACGAGTTGCATACTAAGCTTCCTATACCTTTATATTTGCTGCCATTCACGTAAATTTGCCTTTAGGATAGACAGCTATAAACCTGAGTATGAACCTGCAAGCTTTTGGGAGATCCTGGAGTCATTAATGATAAAGCTTAAGGATGTTGTGGTCTAGCCAAAAACTAAAGATAACATAGGATTTTTCCACCATTTAAGAATATAATCTTAATTTTAGTAGTTTTTAATTATTATTTATTTAATTATTTTTAAAGTTACTTAATTTTTAATAATCTCACATGGTAAATTCTTTTCTCCAACATCCTAGCCGGACAGTTTGGAATGTGAAAATCTCCCAATCCTTTACCACTCCCCAGAGATAAAGTTTTTAAACTAATTTGTTTTTATTCCTGTGGTTACCATCAGAATTTAAAATAATATATTTCTTGGTATATTTGTCTGACATGGTGTTTCTTTACTTCCTGTCATGAAAGATGAGTTTTGTGTACTTACACCACCAACTGTGCCTTCTGCCTCCTGGGTGTTCTTGTTACGAATTGTGGTTGTTTTGATCATTTCCTATAGCTTTTAATGTTCTCAGTTCTTTAGTTTTTTGGGCCACCAACTTGAGGCAGCCTCCCTTGACTCACCATTATGGTAATGAGGAAGTCCATGGCCCTCAGTGTCTTTCTACTTCTTTCTCCTCTCCCTTTACTGTTAGACATTGTCAAGAATTTTAATTTGCTTTTGTTTTCCTTGCAGTGTCTAATTACTTCCTCTTTTATTGTAATGTCACTGAAAGCTTTTATCATGGCATTAAAAAAGCATTTAATTTTGCAATTATAGTACATGGATTTTTTTTTTTTTTTTAATTTTTAAAGACATTCTTTAGCGGGTTCTCTGACTTCCTGCTCTGCTTCGCACTGTCTTCTGTGCCAGTGATGGCAGTCATACTGGACATTAAAAAAAATTTGTTTTTCAGAAACAGTGCTTGGAAGTAAATTTCAAAATTCTTACGTCTGGAGAGGTCTATAATTTGCCATCATACTTGACTGTTAGTTTGTTTGGGTTGTGAATTCTTGGTTCTAAATCCTTTTACCTCAAAATTGTGAAGGCCTCCATTATCTATTAATATCAGATGCTATTCTGATTCTCATTATTTTGTATATAACCCGGCTTTCCTCTCTGAATGTTTTTGAAATGATCTTTCTCTCTCCTCTCTGTGAACTTCTGTTTTTACTGTACCCACACTGAGGTGTATTTTAAACATCCATCTTATCCAGCTCGCTTTAATCTGTAATTCCAAATCTTTATTTCATTCAAAGGGTTTTTCTTCTTTCTTTGATTATCATTTTCTATTGTCTCTGTCTTAGGGAACTCAATGTATTAATGTTGGGACTCTTGGAGCTATCTGCCTTGTATTACGGTTTCTTTCATATTTTCTGTTTCTTTCCTTTCCTCTTAAGATTTGGAAGATTTCTGTTTTCCAGAATGCTATCTTCAGTCATGCTTAGTCTGTTATCTAGCCTTCTAATGAAATTTTATTTATTTAGTGTTTAATTTTCAAGATCTCCTAGTGGTTCTCTGGTATTTACATTTTTCATAGTGACCTGTTTTGTTGTTTGTTTCAGATGAATATACCCTTTCAAACTTCCAGTGTAGTAATTAGTCAAGGTATTTGTGTGTTTCGTTTGGTTTGGTCTTGTCCGATTTGTTTTCCCTTAATCTTTTTCCTGGTCTTTCTCTTCCTGCTCGACTTTTCTCAAATGTCTAGTGATCCCTGGTTGGTTAAATTTGTATGAAGATTTGTATTGGTTAGCATAAGTAGCTGTCTTTCCTTTCTTTTACAGTTGAGTAAGCTCACTTACCCAAAAGGCTCCTCCCCTGGATAGTAGCCCTCACCATGGACTCTGTGTGTGTGTGTGTGTGTGTGTGTGTTTAGTGAGCTGGGTGAGGAGTAAGTGGCAACTGCCACAAGCCACAGTTAAATGGATTGTATTGTGAGGTGGAATGCTTGGTTTATTACTTCACTCTCTGATGGGATGCCTTTCTTTCTCTCTCTCCCTTCCTCATCCTCCTCTCTCCTGTCTTTTCTCTTCCCTTCCCTTCTCTTCTCTTCTCTTCCTCTTCCTCTTCCTCTTCCCTTCTGTCCTTCCTTCAGGTCATAGTGTAGTATTGCCCACAAGCTTTGTGCTGCTTTCTTCTCCAGTCTTAAAACCTATTCTTGGGTTTCTTCCTTACTTTTGCTTTGTTTAGAAAGCACTTGCCTGGCTTTAGCTGAGGGTAGCTGTTCTATATAAATGAGAAGTCAGCAGGGGCCTGGACAAGTTGCTTTATGGAGGGTTCTGTAATTACCCTCATTACAACATCACAGCGTTTGTCACTGAGCTGTCATGGAGCTTAGAGCTCCCCACCACCCAAGTTTATCTGTTGTGGGGTTTGAACCCACGACCCTGAGATCAAGAGCATGCTTTTCTGACTGAGCCAACCAGGTGTTCCTGTCTTTTTAAGGCCCCTAACAGCCTCCTGTGTGTTTTGGGTTTTATTTTTTTCCACTCTGGTTTATTCATCAGTAATAAGCCCATTTATTTTTGGAGAATGCTTACATTTGGGTTGAATATTTTTTGAAATTTTAATAAAATTAGTGGGCAGTATCAGTCTTGGGAAATAAGCACATCCACTGTAAACCTTTGAAAGTAATTTAGGAAGGGGCTTGCATACATTGTTTCATTTAGTACTAAAATCATGATTTATTCCAAGACATAATTTCTTTCTCACATTAATGACCTTGAAACAGTTTCTGTTACTTCCCTCCTGGTATTCTTCCTACTTACATCATTTCTCCATTTCTTAAGAAATGGTATGTATTTAAGTTTTTAATCATGTATTTGAAGCTTAAGAAAATCCATGGCAATGGGTGATTTAGAGGTAAGTGGTAATTAAAGTCACTGAAAGACACTTGAGTTAAACCTAGTATTTTTCCTGTAGGTTTCTTTCTCCTTAGAAAGGAGTTAATATTCTTTAAAAATAGAAAAAATATAGAGAGAATCATCAAACATTTATTCCATAAATATAAAAGTAATTCTCTGTGTTGGAGACTGCATTTTAGTCTAGTGGAATCAATAGTTACCTCAAAAATATTACCCATCTTTCTTAGTTACTTAAAACATAGACAAAGTAGTAAAGGCAATGGTGACCCCCACTTTAGATTTTCCAGTTCTGAGAGAGAAATAGCATTAGGTCAAGTCTAATACTTGGGTTGGATGTTGGTAATTAGAGCTCAGTGTTCTTTTCTCAGAGGTCATTTGAAAACTGAAATTTAGCACAGTCCTAAGAAGTATTACTTTGTGGGAGTATTTTTAAATCGAGCCATTTCCTGCTTTCCTATGCTCTGGTCATAGTAGGAACAGCTCTTGCTGGATAACTATGGAAATATCTGTTCCCATGGTGAAATTTTTCAAGGCAGAGATTGGATCAAAATAAGAGCTTTTATTTATTGTCTGTTCAAAATGGGTGCCACTCATGATGCTGAGTTATTTACATATCTCATTTAATTTCTGAAACAACCTGTTAATTGAGTAATCTTCATATTACATTTGAAAATGTTAAGGCGTAGCAAGGGTTAAATAAATTACATAAGCCCATAACTGGTGAGTGACATCTGACGTTTAAATAGGTCAGGTTTACTCCCAGTTTTTTACTGTCAGCCGTTGTATAGCATATGAGCACTAAACACATACCAGTATGAATTAAAAAGTATATTGAACATATCCTTTCTTTGATTTCCAATAATACTCTTTTGACACTGTACCTGTGCTCCTATTGGACAAAGCTAATTTAATCTCTTGGTTTTTTCTTCCTACAAGAGGGAAGTATAGTAGATTGTATGTGGAAATGAGAATATTTGTGATTCAGTCTTGATGCTGCTCGAGAGGAGGGCAGAATTAAACATTGATTTCTTTTCCCTAAGAATACAGCTTTGGTTTTTAATACAATGTGCATAGATGCATTTTTTGCTCTCTTGGCTTTTCGTCATTCATTCATTCAATAAAGTACAAGAAGATGGCAGATTTTAATCACCTTCACAAGGAAATGTTGGTATTCTTTATAATATGTCAAGTTTAACTTAAAGTGGCCTGGATTTTCACATTTCCTAGTAAGTATTACTTGGTTTCCACATTTCTAGAATGGTAGTTTTTTTTTTTTTTCCTTAGATCTATGGGAAAATTTTTAAAAAATTGTGTGTCTTCATTTCATGCTTACATTTATAATGTATCATTGGCTGGGTAGTGAATTGTAGATTCAGTTTCCCCCCACTTTAACACTGTCAAGATCTTGTTCCAGTCTTCTTGGAGCCAGTGTTTTGATGAGAAATTTTATGGTAGTTTGTAGAACGTCATCCAATTGGGATTTATCTGATGCGTTTCTCATGATTGGTTTTGGTTTTATGGGATTTGGGGAAGAAGATCACAGAGATAAAGTGCCATTTTCATCACATCACAGCAAGGATGTATACTATCAACATGATCTGATGTTGACCTTGATCACGAGGTTGAGGCAGTGTTGGAGTTCTCCGGTGTAAGACTACTCTTTACCCCCCTTTCCATACTGTACTCTTTGTTTTTTTTTTAAGATTTTATTTATTTATTTGACAGAGAGACAGTGAGAGAGGGAACACAAGCAGGGGGAGTGGGAGAGGGAGAAGCAGGCCTCCCACCGAGCAGGGAGCCCGATGTGGGGCCCAATCCCAGCACCCTGGGATCATGACCCGAGCCGAAGGCAGACGCTTAACGACTAAGCCACCCAGGCGCTCCCCATACTGTACTCTTTGGAAGGAAGTCATGAAGCACAGCCCACACTTAAGGGGTGGGGAATTATGCTCCACATCCTCGAGGGTGGAGTAACTACATAACTTATTTAGAATTTTCGTGCACGAGAGACTCCACTCTTTTCCTCCCTCTTATTTATTTTTATTCAATTATTTATATCATTGTGGACTAATGGGTATTTATTTATTGTTTTTACTATGATGGAAGCTAAGTAATATAGCCAGCTCCCAGTTACCTTATTTCTGCTTTGGAACAGAAAAGGAAATAATTGTCAAGATCCAAATGGAGTATAATGCCATCTCAGATTACTTATTTATAGAAAAAGTTCTTAGTAATAGCTTGAAATTACAGTCTTCTGGGAATCATGTGATAGACCCTGCCTCTAGCAGTTATTTAGGGGTTCATGTAACCTTCTTGTTCTGATACAGATAACTTTCTTTAACTTTACCACTGTTACCTTCCTTAGTAGTAGATGAATAGGATTATATAGGGAGCCACATTTCCCAAAAATGTGCAAATATACCCAAGTACATTCTGGCAAAACTCAGATTGAAAGTACAGTTGTGCATGGCTATGATTACCACAGGGGTTAATTAATTACTTCTAGTTTGGCCAGGATTCTGTGTTGCTTTTATGTATCTAAACCTCCAACTTTATTATTATTATTATTATTTTTAAAGATTTTATTTATTTATTTGAGACAGAGAGAATGAGAGAGAGAGAGCACATGAGAGGGGGGAGGGTCAGAGGGAGAAGCAGGCTCCCCGCCGAGCAGGGAGCCCGATGCGGGACTCGATCCAGGGACTCCAGGATCATGACCTGAGCTGAAGGCAGTTACTTAACCAACTGAGCCACCCAGGCGCCCCCTCCAACTTTATTATTATTATTTTTTAAAAGATTTTTATTTATTTGACGGAGAGAGACACAGCGAGAGAGGGAACACAAGCAGGGGGAGTGGGAGAGGGAGAAGCAGGCTTCCTGCGGAGCAGGGAGCCCAATGCGGGGCTCGATCCCAGGACCCTGGGATCATGACCTGAACCGAAGGCAGACACTTAACGACTGAGCCACCCAGGTGCCCCTAAACCTCCAACTTTAAAACACAGTGTCCTTAATCTGGCCATCTGAGGGTGATGAATCAGTTTACTGTTTTAATATATTTTTTGGAAGGAAGGCTTTCCCTAGAAGTGCCCTAAAGTACCATTTAAAATTTCTTGTTTTCCTTTTTGATACTGCTTTTTCTTCTTTATTAGGGCTTTCAGTCATGGCTTCTTTTCATTCTTGGCCAGGGAATCTGCTGGCACTAATGACTTTGTTGTTAATGTAGCATAGGTACTGCTCCTTTTGGTAGTCTTGGTATTGCCAGACCTTCCCATCATTCTTTTAAAGGTTGTTTTTTGTTTTTTACAGTTTCTAATTTTTCAAGTGATGACTATATGCTTCTTTTCTTGACTCTTTAAGACTATTATACCATCTGTGTATTACTATTGAATTATGAATGTGTGCAGAAATGTTTGCTAGAGAACCTTGACTGACTGATTACACACACACACACACACACCAGTGCACAGTTTTGTATAAAGGACTTTGTAGCTGGTTTCTGCCCTGTGAGTGGGAAACCAGGTATCTCCCACCTCAGCCTAATGGCTGATGTGCTTTGTGATACTGGTTGTTAATATTTGGGACAGTACAATAACAATGAGATTGAAAGACTGTTCGGTTGTTGCATTCCTTCCCTTTAAGCTTCTTTGATGAATATTCTCCAAACTAGGTTTTTTTGGGGATCCTTTTAATTAAAAACAAACAAAAAGGGCCAATAAAGGGGAATTTGCTGTTGGGCAGGAAACATGCTGCAGAGCTACTTTCTGGTTATTATAACAGAAGAATATAGAGGATCAACACTCATACAATTTGAGGCAGTGATTTGGGAAACAAATGTAGATTTTCCTGTTATATCAATCATCTCCTGATTGTTTTTCTCCCTTTCATAGTTCTCAAGATTTTTCTAAATACAATCTTTAAAATCGACTCAAATGGAGATTGTGCTTTTCTCTGTTACATCCTTACTCCACATTATTGTATAAGTTTAATAGCAGTCTGACACGTAAGTTTCAGTAAAACTTATGCCTGTATATGTTTTTATTGGACTCAGAAATTATTTATATGTCATATATTCATAAAAATTTTCACTTTGATGCCAGAAGTAGTTACATGGCCTTAATCTTATGAGATGTATGCTTAATTTCAGTTTTTAAAAAAGATTTATTTAGAGAGCAGGGGGAGGGGAGGGGCAGAGGGAGAGGGGAGAGAGAATCCCAAGCAGACTCCACCCTGGGCACAGAGCCCCAAGTGGGGCTAGATCGCAGGACCCTGAGATCACGACCTGAGCCAAAACCAAGAGTTAGATGCTTAAGTGACCCTGGCGCCCCTTAATTTCAGTTTTTAACCTACTTGATAACTTCTAGGTCAGCCTTTGTCAGTCTTCCATGTAAATACATGGTACAGATAAATAGAAACCATTTACTTGCATATGCAAATTACATGTGTGACTTAAGTAGGAGATTGGCAAATTTATTATATATCTACCTCCTTGTTTCTTTTCTTTTTTTTTTTTTTTTAAGATTTTATTTATTTATTTGACAGAGACAGAGACAGCGAGAGCAGGAACACAAGCAGGGGGAGTGGGAGAGGGAGAAGCAGGCTTCCTGCTGAGCCGGGAGCCCAATGTGGGACTCGATCCCAGGACCCTGGGATCATGACCTGAGCCGAAGGCAGTCGCTTAACCAACTGAGCCACCCAGGCGCCCCTACCTCCTTGTTTCATTTGAGTTTTTATGTTTGTATACTAGATACTCTTCTGACACCATACATTTCACAACTTTTTATAACCTGATTAACACTTTTGTGTTACCATTCAGCGTGTCAAATCCTTACATTTTGCCATGCTTATTTCTGAATTTTTTAGAAGAACACATTACAGATATGGTTAAAAGTCCCTTTATGTGCCCCTCCTCAGTGCCCTTCCTCTTTTTCCCTAGAGGTGTCCACTCTCCAGGATTAGGTTCTTCATTGCCAGATGACAAAATAAGCTAGCATTTCAAAATTTCCCAGATTCATCTTCTGAGGGACTTGGAAGTGCTTTGAGGAAAAAAGACTGATGCTCACATTCTCACCTGCAGATTTGTAATCTATATTGAAAGCACTGAAGGCTCTCAGACATGGAAAAAAATAACTTAATTTTTAAAATTCAGCATTGCCTAACTCTTTTGACCACAGAACCCCTTCATCCAAGATTCTGTGCTCCGTTGTGGCTTAGAACATGCTTCTTGAAAAACACTGCCTAGAGGTATACTGTTCCCATGATTGACTTTCCATTTAATTTTATAGATTTTTACTAATGTTACTTTCTAGATTTGGATGAGAGAAATACTAATAGTATCACTTTCAGTTGATAATGACTGTTGGATCAAGTTTAAAATCATTTTGCAAAAAAGGGAGGTAAAACGTTAATAAATTGCATATTCATTGGCCAGGATACAAGTTACTTATGCTGTTTCATTTTTTAAATTCTTGAGTCCGCTAATCTATTGAATACTGAAATGTCTGGCTGTGGACCATGGCAACAAATACCCTTTGCCTTAAACTGATCTGTTACATTTTATGTTCCTGTGGCTGGAAGTAGACTGAGTGTGTTGTTAATGTTTGACACATTTTTTTGAATAACAGTTCTTCAACTGTTAATGTACAAGATGGTACTTGAATTCTTTGTTTGCTTTTTTCTTCCTGTATTAGAAAATCTTGGTGCTTTTTGTAAGTTATGTATAAAAGAAATTTTTCTTAAGATTTGTTCTTATACCGGTCTGATCCAGGAAAAATAAAATGGGAAAATGGACACTATTTTTGACCTTCAAATAAAACTATATATTGGTTTTCAGAGTGTTCACCGAGCCCTGGGGTCATATACATTGTCTTAAGGCAGGACATTTACCTGTGTGGGATGACAGGTCTCCTAGGATCTGATGAGAATATGGAGGAGAGATGAGGCTCTTGAAAAATACACAGAGGCACACAGTTTACATATAATATTGCAGAAGCCAGGGAATCTCTTCCTATAAAGGAAGAGTACCAAAACAGACCTCATTCTCTTACTGGCTTGTAGCTGTCACTGCACTATACCTTATGGTTCTGAGATAGGAAATGATAAACAGGAACCTTCCACTTCTACAAAAATACATCTGGAACTGTTCAAATATCTAAAGACTAAACCATCTGCCCTGTTATTAGAATTTTAGGGTTTATTAAGGAGTCTCTGCATTTTATTTCTAGGATCTCCCTTAAAACACACACACACACACACACGTTATCAAGCAGCTTTTCATTAGTTAGAAATCATTTTGCGTTCTGCACCTTGCTATTTTAGGCATAGTTGTGTAACATTATTTATTTTTTAAAAATATTTTATTTATTTGAGAGAGAGAGAGCACAAGTTGGTGGAGGGGAAGAGGGAGAGGGAGAAACAGACTCCCTGATGAGCAGGGAGCCCGATGTGGGGCTCGATCCCAGGACCCTGAGATCATGACCTGAGCCGAAGGCAGATGCTTAACCCACTGAGCCACCTAGGTGCCCCTGTGTAACATTTTTTAAAAGAGATTTTTCTGTTTTCATTTGTAGAGAAAAGTCTCTAAAGAACCTGCACTAGTTGTTTTGTTAGCTTAATTCAGTCTTCATTCTGAAGACATTTTTTTTTTTTTAAAGATTTTATTTATTTATTTGAGACAGAGAGAATGAGAGACAGAGAGCATGAGAGGGAGGAGGGTCAGAGGGAGAAGCAGACTCCCTGCCGAGCAGGGAGCCCGATGCGGGACTCGATCCCGGGACTCCAGGATCATGACCTGAGCCGAAGGCAGTCGCTCAACCGACTGAGCCACCCAGGCGCCCTCTGAAGACATTTTTATTCTAAGTATTAACTTTCTTGAAAGTTATTGTACCTGGACTGTATGATTCCAGAACTATTTCTGCAGTGTTCAGTCCTCATTTTGTTTGGTGATCACATATTTTAGAGATCAAGCATCCAAAATAGGAGCCCAATAAATGTTGCTGTTATGCATACTTATTTTGAATTAATGAGCCCACGAAAGAGCACATAAATGAGCGTGTGAAAGAATGATCAAGTGGAATAAGTAAAATCGTTTTCGTCCCATTTGGTATAAATTCTAATGTACAGTTAATGGGGTTGTTTGCAGTTAATTATTCTCAAGTAGTAAGTTAAACCACTCTGGTGTGTCAGACACAGTCCACAAACCAGTGCCACCGGTCTCCCAAAAGATGCTAATTCTGTAACTATTCATTTAGCTAGGATCGAAGAGAGTGTTAGCTAGCTAAGAAATATGCAAAATTCACTCCCTCCAAAACTTAATCTCTAAAAGTAACGGAGTATGGTGAGATTAATTTGTAATTTCTTTAGGTGGAGTTAGGGCATAGTCGCCACATTCCTTTCTTCTTCTCCCCCCCCCCAACATTCCTTTATTCTTAACAAGACCCTGCTCTTCAGAATCAATCTGACTACTTCTCAGAAAGGTAAAAGAAGTAACTTATTTATGTATTTATTTTTAAATTTTACCCCTAAATTCTTTTCTTACATAGTTCTGAGACTTGGTAAGGTGTACAAAAGTTTGTCTACTACAACCTTCTCAGTTACATTTGATTGATAAGTGAAACAAAAGGAACTACAGTTGACCCTTGCACAACAGGGGGTTAGGGGTGCTGATCCCTCCACTGCAGTCTAAAATCCTTGTATAAGTTTTAACTCCCTAAAATAAAAGCTACTGATAACCTGCTGTTGACTGGAAAGCCTTACCGATAACATAAACAGTTGATAAACACATATTTTGTATGTAGTATGTATTATATGCTGTATTCTTACAATAAAGTAAGCTACAGAAAAAAAATGTTACCAAGAAAATCATAAGGAATAGAAAATACATTTATAGTACTGTACTGTATATTGAAAAATATTTGCATATAAGTGGCCCTGCACAGTTCAAACCCCTATTCAAGGGTCAACTGTATTTTGCAACTTCATTTGGATATTATATTTAGTGAGGTGGAGGGAAGAAAGCAATGAGAAGAAAATTAGAGCCACCTCTGGTCACTGGCTTAGCCCTTTTAGGCCTCAGTTTTCTCTTATGTAACAATTTGCAGGTCTTACCCAGCTCTAGTAACAATTGAAGATACTTTTTGTTGTTGTTCATTATGTAACAGAGAATGAATAAAAATAATACAATCATGGGAATGTAAGTAGAAACTTTCTTTAAAATGGCTAATTATAGTTTAAATCATTGTTGTCCAATAGGACTTTTTGTGATGATGGAACTATTCTAGATCTGTGTTATCCAGTATGCTAGCCAATAGTAACATGTGGCCATTGAGCACTTGAAATGTTGCTGGTGTGACTGAGGAACCTAAATTTTAACTTGAAGTAAGACAGATTTAAGTAGTCACATGTAGCTGATAAGTTACTGTATTGGACAGTGCAGGTTAAATTCTTTTTTTTTTTTTTTTAAAGATTTTATTTATTTATTTGAGAGAGAGAGAATGAGAGAGAGCACATGAGAGGGGGGAGGGTCAGAGGGAGAAGCAGACTCCCTGCCGAGCAGGGAGCCCGATGCGGGACTCGATCCAGGGACTCCAGGATCATGACCTGAGCCGAAGGTAGTCGCTTAACCAACTGAGCCACCCAGGCGCCCTGCAGGTTAAATTCTTAAGTATTTGTAAATATTTAAAGGGAATTCCACACAGATTTATTATGACAGTCTTGATCTTTAATGATTTGTATCTGGAATCTCTTAATTTTAGAATTTGGCGGTTGCACCTCCAACTTTCAGTATTTAAATCTTTCTTACAGCATATCCTCCCTTTCTAATTGCAGTCAAGTATGGATAGGTACTATGACCTTTCCCAGGGATCCTGGAGTCTTGGTAACCATGCACCTGGATCGCTGGATTTTTAAAGCTGTTATCCTACTAAGAGTTTATGGGTTTACCACAGTCTCCCTGTAGACTCCTGTCAGTTCCCTGCAAGGCTACACCTTATTCTGTAGTATCTGGCTTTGTAGTATCTGGAGCGGGTTTGATGTTGAGAATTTTATCTTATATTGTCTTACAGGCTTGAATCTGAAATGTTTTAATTAAGGGCCACTTTACAAAATGCTGGGTCTTCCACTGGCAAGAAGTTTTTAGTCCTAAAATCTTGAGTCATTAGCAAGATGTTGTTAGTACTAAAATATCTAGGTCACTGGGCCATAAATTCACTTGAATGAATTTTCCAGTAAGTCTGTGCTAATTGCTTCAGTATTGCAAACACTAACTACATTCTTGAAATTTCCATATTTGGGGATCACAGAGAATTTTGAATGGTTCTATCCTGAAATTCTGGACCTTTGAAATGATAAAAATTAGTATAGAGACATTCTTTTGGGTTAAATTGATAAGCTGTGTGTTTGGGACTCATTTTTCTGTGAGAGGATAATTTTTTTTTTTTTTAAAGATTTTATTTATTTATCTGAGAGAGAGGATGGGAGACAGAGAGCATGAGAGGAGGAGGATCAGAGGGAGAAGCAGACCCCCCGCCGAGCAGGGAGCCCGATGCGGGACTCGATCCCGGGACTCCAGGATCATGACCTGAGCCGAAGGCAGTCGCTTAACCGACTGAGCCACCCAGGCGCCCTGTGAGAGGATAATTTATATAAAATTAAGTTTTTATATCTGGCACTCAGCTCACAAAACCCATAACGTTCCTGAAACTTAGTTTAGTCATACTGAGTCTGAGAGCTGTCTGAAAACGTGCATCCCCACTGAGGCTTTGAAGCACATCTTTCTGGGACCACAAGCACTGGTTCTGCATTGCCAAACAAAGGCACTAGTTAGTATCCGTCATTCTTGAGCTTCGAACAGACGGAAACCAAAGATAGTTGCCATTAAATAAAGTAATAAAAGAACATGTTAAAAACTTCAAGCAGTCCAAGAGTAAATGCCTTCTTATTCCCATAGCATTTCTTCTCCCTAAAAAACCATTACCAGCTTAATTTTTCTTTTTTCAAATTGGACTAAATTACACCTTGCTTTTCTGCCTGTATTTTTAAAAAGGCTTATTGAGGTATAAGTTACATATGGTAACATTCACCCTTTTTTTAGATATACAGTTCTATGAATTTTGACAAATACATATACTATAATGAAGGTATGTATTTCCGTCCCTTCAAAAAGTTCTTTTCTCTGCTTCATTTTTGTAACCACCACCGTAATCAATATATAGAACATTTCCATCACCCCCCAAAAGTTCCCTCTTCCTGCCTCAGTTTTAACAGCTGTACTGTATTCAGTTATATGGATTTACCTTAATTTTCTTAAATAACCCCTCATTGATTTTTAGGTGTTTCCATTCTTGGAATTCAAACAAGGTGCAACAAATATCTTTGTAAAATTTTGGTGAGATTTTACAGCTACAGACACAGGGTAAATTCCTAGCAGAATTAAGGGCTATAACATTTTGATAGAGCCAAATGGCCTTCCTCCAAAATTGTACCAATTTACTTTCCAACCAGTTATGGCTGACAGTGTCTGTTCCTGTCTTACTATCACTGTGTCACCAGATTTAATTTTTGCTACTTTGACAGAGGAAATATTACCTAGCAAAGTAACTTGCATTCAGTGGTGGGTTTTTTTTTCTCATTTTAAAAACATCAGAAAGTTTATACACACACACAAATCTAACCTGTGTTATTTGTGGTTATAACTATAATATCACATTAGAGAAAATGTGAAAGCTTCACCTTTGTTTCTGCTATTTCAGTATACTTTTCATTTGCTACTTTTCACATCTACATTTTGTACCTATACATGAACATTTTTATAATCACCCCCCATGGCATATGCACGGTTTATGCATGTATTATTTTGTTTGCTATTTTATTATTTATTTACTTTTAAGGTTTTATTTTTTTAATTAATTTATTTTTAAAGATTTATTTATTTTAGAGAAAGGGAGAGAGTACATGAGCAGAGGGAGGGGAGGGCAGAGGGAGCGAGAATCCTGAAGCAGACACCCCACTGATTGTTGAGCCCTGAGTCCCATGCAGGGCTGGATCCCAAGACCCTGAGATCATGACCTGAGCCAAAATCAAGAGTTGAACATTTAACTGACTGAGTCACCCAGGCGCCCCTAAGATTTTATTTTTGAGTAATCTCTACACCCAGCGTGGGGCTTCAACTCAGAACCCCGGGATCAAGATTCGCATGTCCCACTGACTGAGCCAGCTGGGCACCCCTTGTTTGCTGTTTTAAAATTCACTTTATTTCGGGCGCCTGGGTGGCTCAGTCGGTTAAGCGACTGCCTTCAGCTCAGGTCATGATCCTGGAGTCCCGGGATCGAGTCCCGCATCGGGCTCCCTGCTCAGCGGGGAGTCTGCTTCTCCCTCTGACCCTCCTCCCTCTCGTGCTCTCTGTCTCTCATTCTCTCTTGCAAATAAATAAATAAAATCTTTAAAAAAAAAAAATTCACTTCATTTCATGAGCATTTTCTTTTGTTCCTAGAATCCTCATTTTAATAGTTGTATGTTCTTTTTCTTTTGGCCATGACACAGTTCATTTAATTATCCCACTTCTAAAATTTGTTTACACTTTTTCACTATTTTGAACAAAGTTTCAAATGCCATCTTTTAAATATAAATGTTAAAAAAATCCTTTATGTTATTTTCTTAGGATAAATTTTTATTAGTCTCATTGTTCTGGATCTAAATGTGTTAACATTGACATGAGAGGATACAGTTTTATCATTTGAAATAGTTTTCGTCACTTCATTGGGAATTCAGTAACATCTTTTACTAAAGAAGAGAGCAGTTGCAAATCAGTATGCTTCTATGCCAGATTAAGCTATTTATTTTTCCTCCTTTTCATCTGAAAAAATATAAAAATGATACGTGCTACTTGTAATGATTTCATATCCACTTTCCAGAGGTAATCAGTCCACTGCTGTTTAGTAAATTAAAATTTTTTTAGTTGAATTTCCCCCCCCAATACATCATTCATGTGTTTCAGTATTTAAAAATTACCAAACAATATACAATGAAGTCTCCTTACCCAGTTCCCTCTCTTGGGGGCAATTAATGTGATGGTTCTTGTGTTTTCTTTCAGACACGTTTTATGCATTTTTGAGCAAGTGTATATATGCGCTTTGTGTATGTGTGTCTCTTTTTAAGCCATAAATGTTAGCATGGTGCACATATTTTTTTGTACATACTTTCTTAGATAAGTCTTTTATTTGTATTTAATTTTACAAAAGTAGATGACACATGCATATGGTTCAGAAATAAAATAATGTAAAGACTTGAATAGCTGCCCTCCCATCTGTTCCCTGTCTGCTGTCTTTCAGTGAGTCTTTGTGCATATAGAAGCAAATAGGAAGAGACATATTTTCTTTTCTTTTCCTCCTGTAACTCTTAGACTAACCTTTCCACATCTAAGGAGGCAGAATAGAATAGGCATTAAAAGCTATGGATTGGGGGCGCCTGGGTGGCTCAGATGGTTGAGTGTCTGCCTTCAGCTCAGGTCATGATCCCAGGGTCCTGGGATTGAGTCCCGCATTGGGCTCCCTGCTAGGCGGGGAGCCTGCTTCTCCCTCTGCCTCTGCCTCTCCCTCTCTCTCTCTGACTCTCATGAATAAATAAATAAAACATTAAAAAAAAAAAAGAGCTATGGATTGGGGGTCAGCTCCCTGCATTCAAGATGTCCGCTCTGCCACTTATCAGCTATGTGATCATGGGCAAGTTGTTTAACCTATCTGTACCTTGTAATTTTCATATGTAAAGTATTAGTCAGTATACATACTTTGCTTAGAATAGTACCATACATATAAGAAGAATGTGTACTTGCTAGTAGTACTAGTATTTTTATTATTAAGGACAGTAACCAATAAAATAATACCCAAGAATCAGTACCAATCAGTTGGATTTATATTTAGTGATATGTATGGATTTGGGTAAATTCATTTAGCAGAAAAGGATAGATGGGATTCCTCACTTGCTTGGGTTCTACTTAAATACGTTTTATTTTATTCAAAAAATTTTTAAAGGTTTATTTATTAGAGCAAGAGTAGGAGGAGGGGCAGAGGAAGAGGGAGAGAGAAACTTAAGTAGTCTCCGCCCTGAGCTTGGAGCCTGACACAGGGTTCAGTCTCATGACCCTGAGATCACGACCTGAGCTGAAACCAAGAGTCAGACGTTTAACCAACTGTGCCACCCAGGCGCCCCTCAAATACATTTTAGAAAATGTCAGAAAACAAATTCAAAGCAGCTAAAATATATTTTGTTGTTCCTTTTTTTATGGGTTGATGGGTTTCTTATTTTTTTTTGCGTACACTTGTTTAAACATACTTTTATGGGGCGCTTGGGTGGCTCAGTTGGTTGGGCGACTGCCTTCGGCTCAGGTCATGATCCCGGGGTCCTGGGATCGAGTTCCGCATTGGGCTCCCTGCTCTGCGGGGAGCCTGCTTCTCCCTCTCCCACTCCCCCTGCTTGTGTTCCCTCTCTTGCTGTGTCTCTCTCTATCAAATAAATAAATAAAATCTTTAAAAAAAACAAAAACAAAAACTTTCATAACAAAAGTGTCTCAGGAAAGGTGAGGGTAGAGGTGGCTGCTAAGAGTATGAACTTTTTTTTGCACAGTGCATCACATTTTAAAAGTGTTTTCTCATGTATTTTCCAAATTTGGTTAAAATACACACATATCTATACATAATATTTAATTTTGGGTGATAGTGACCCATAAAGCTTTTTTAATTCCCTGCCCATATTTAGGATCAAATTGTTAATGACATTAAAAGTTCTTTGGGTGCCTGGTTGGCTATGTCAGGAGAGGATATGACTCTTGATCTTGGGGTTGTGAGTTCAAGCCCCACATTGGGTGTTGAGATTACTTAAATAAATAATAATAAAACCAACCAAACAACAACCCTGAAAATAAAAAGTTCTTAAACCAAACAAGGGACTGGAAGACTGAATTGTTTTTCTAGTCAATTTTTCCATCTTCAGTTCTTTTTCTTAATAAAATCAAAGTAACAACAAAACCTCTTTTCCCCTTTCCCACCTTTAGATCCCAGTTACAAAATTATGTATGTTCATTGTAGAAAATACAAAAACGAACAAAAAAAATCCAAAAGAAAACATAAAAACAAAACACAGGGCAATAAGAATCACCTTAATACCTCTACTCAGCTTAATACTCTTTCTGTTTAACAGTTTGGTGTCTAGACTTCTTGCATTTTTCTCCAGATAGGTGTACACACACACTCATGGTACTAATCTGTCTTTTCCTGGTGGCATCAGGAATGTTGCAGACACTGGTGTTTTTCCTTTTTTCGATAGTATCATGAACATTTTAATTACATCATTTAAGTTACTATAGTATCATTTATAACAGGTGCATCATATTCTATTGAGCACATATGCCATACTGAAATACATTTTGTAATATATTTCCTATTCAAGGGCATTTAAAAATAAGCTATCAGTAAACATTCTTGTAGGCAAATCTTTTTGGACATCGATTATTTCCTTAGGGTAAATTCTGAGGCATGAGCTTCTCAGGTTGTAGGATACGCACGTTTTTCATGCTTTGGTACACATTGCCAAACTGTTGTCCCGGCAGTTGGTATCTCCCTACATATTTGCCAGCATAGGGTCTTGTCTTTAGATAAGTCCATGCCTATTTGAGACACAATCACTCCCCTTCTGAATTGGTGCAGATTCACTTTCCGTTGCTCCTAGAATCATCTTTTCCTTCTTCCCTTCTTCCCTCTCTTGCTATTCTTCCATATCCTTCCTCCTTCCCACCTCAGACTTCATAGAAGCTGGATTTAGTCCTGGTTGGAGAGGGACCTGTTTCAGATATTCTTCACCTCATTCTTACCTGCTTTGTAGTGCATTTGCTGTATAAAATGTTCCTGAGGCTTTTTCTGGA